AATATATATATATATAAAAGAAACAAAAAAGAAACTTATTGAATGCCTATTTTGTTACAGGCACTCTTCTGGATACTGAAAAAAAGAAAACAATTGGCCAGGTGTGGTAGCTCACACCTGTAATCCCAGCACTCTGGGAGGCCAAGACAGGCGGATCACCTGAGATCAGGAGTTCAAGACTAGCCGGGCCAACATGGTGAAACCCAGTCTCTTCTAAAAAATACAAAAATTAGCTGAGTGTGGCGGTGCATGCCTGTAATCCCAGCTACTCAGGAGGCTGAGACACGACAGGAAAGTTGCTTGAACTAAGGAGTCAGAGTTTGCAATGAGCCAAGATCATGCCATTGCACTCCAGCCTGGGTGACAGAGCAAGACCCTGTATGAAAGAGAGAGAGAGAGAGAAGGAAAGAAAGAAAGAGGAAGGAAGGAAGGAAAGAGAGAAAGAAGGAAGGAAGGAGGGAAGGAAGGAAGGAAAGAAAGAGAGAAAGAAAGATTCCTGTTCTCGTGAAGTTTACCCTCTAGTAGGGAGATGGACATTAAATGAGTAAAATGCATATCAGGTCATCATAAGTGCTTGGGAAAATAAGAAAAGGAAGACAAAAAGCAGTGAGTGGCCATTTTATTTTATTTTATTTTTTTGAAACAGAGTCTCGCTCTGTCACCCAGGCTGGAGTGCAATGGCATGATCTTGGCTCTCACTGGAACCTCCGCCTCCCAGGTTCAAGTGATTCTTCTGCCTCAGCCTTCCGAGTAGCTGGGATTACAGGCGTGTACCACCAAGCCTGGCTAATTTTTGTATTTTTTGTAGAGATGTGGTTTTGCGACATTCGCCAGGCTGGTCTCGAACTCCTGGCCTCATGTGATCTGCCTGCCTTGGCCTCCCAAAGTGTGTGAGCCACTGCCCCCTGCCCCATTTTAAATAGGATTGTCAGAGAAGGTCTTGCTGACACAGTAACATTTGAGCAAAGACTTCAAGGGGATGAAGAAGGAATAAATATGCAGATGTGGAGGAGCATTCCAGGCAGCGGGAACAGCAAGTACAAAGGACCAAAGGTGGAAGCAGCTCTGGTGTGCTTCAGGGACAGCAAAGGGGCCGGCAGGGCTGGACACAGAATGAAGGGAAGGTGGGAGAAGACAGGGTCAGAGAGATATCAGTGGTCCCGATCTCAGAGGCCCTAAGCATTCCCTGGGTAAGGACTTTGCATTTTACCCTGAGTAAGAAGGGAATTTAGTGGAAGATTTCAAGTAGAAAAGAAACATAAACTCATAAGAATTACTTTGTCTGCTGGGGTAAACTATATAAACTCTAGACTGGG